TCTTGTCCTACAAAAAACAGTAAAATAGGGATACTTAATACTAAGGGGTATAATTCTTAAGGGTTTTTGTGTGTGGAAAAGTGATTATCACACTGGAGTAAACTGATTCATCACGCTCCTATTGAACTCGGAGACTAAAATTGCACACAAGCTATTTTACTCTGCATCCACACTTTAGCCCCTGGTTGATAAATTAAATATACATACACACAGTTGTACTTGAGGCATGTATGTAGATTTTGTTTGGCTAATTCTTCCAGTTGTTATGAATGTAAATGCAAAGACCTTTTTCATTCATTGTTAATAGTTGTGCGAAGCAATTCATTGTGACAGGACTACAGCTATTTGAAATGTAATTGTAATGTGTGGTATCATTTCCACAATTTAAACAAATAGATAAATAATACGGTAAAAACAAAAAGACATTTCTTTGTTTGGTGTTTACACTTTTAACAGCACAAGTATACAGGTCAAACTCAAAAGATGTGAATATTTTTTGAGAATATGTTTTTAAAAAAAAAGGAATTCCAAGATAAACTCATATAATCTCATCACACGCAAAGTTAAATCAACATTATAATATATGTTACAATGTTGATTGTAAGACCCTCAATATTTTTAAATGGTCTGTAAGCCATATACTGTACATTAACATTAGAATAAACAAAGGACTGACATTTATCACTCGCATGTAATGAGTCCATATCATTGGTTTCACTTTATAAGTTGAGTTACAGAACTAAATATAATTTTTAACAATAATCAACATTTTCAGCAATGTCCCCCCTCGCCTGTTTGTGCCACTTAAACTGCTGTGACTCCTTGTCCCAACCCGATCGCTCACACAGTCTTATCAGCGCTGCCATCACATTCATATCCTCACATTGTCCCAGAGGAAGGACTGACCTCCAGCTGCTGAAATAAACTTCATACAACCCTTCATTCATCTCACCCCGAGACCAACAGGATTCTTTAGGGAGATGAACCAGAACCCTGCCAGAACCACGGTCCAAGTCCTGGGGGTATTCAGACCTCCTCTGCAGCCCCGGACAGATACAGGCCGTGTGACGACGCGGTTTCGGTCATGAGGGTCAGGCAAAGTCTATGGCACTTCTAAATGAATGTTTGTTATGAGCTCATTCTGATTGAAGATGGAAATGTTCATTATGGTTTTTATAGTTGCCCCCGAGGCAGGAATCTTCTGTGCTGAGGTGCAATTACAGAAGATGCAGGTGTTAGTTTTGTTAGTGTTGTTTTATTCGCTTGCACATGCTCCTGTTAGTTGTCAAAAGTAGTAATATTAGACATTAAGGCTGCAGAACCTAAAATACATTTTCACAAGAAATACATGTTGCTTGATCCAAAAGAAAGAGTCTCGAAGTCAAATCAGACCACCACATGCTGTCTTTCATCGTGTTAGACAACAAGAGCCCTGTGTGTCATTAATTCACTCTTTGGGCTTCACTTTTCTGTCTGAAAGATGTGACAAAGGCCATAATTAAATGCATGTGAAAACTAGTGATAGAACCAAACTGTTAGCTGGAGAGATAGGACATAGTTGGTATAGGATATTTATGATGTGGTTCCATTTTCTGTGGTTTGAAAGTTGGATATCTCTAACACACACACACACACACACACACACACGCACACACACACACACACACACTTTGTTTCTGTCTTATAGTATTAGTTTGTATGTACTGTATATCTGTATCTTCACCAATAAAATGAATAAATACATCATTTGAAGTGTTACTAACAATATTTAACTTGATTGTTGAACTGTAATTAAAACAAGCTTTTTGTTCTCACACTTAGTTGGATCTTTGTAAATGTGTACAAAACAACACATGAATCACATTTCATTTGCCCACACCTGGTTTGGAAGTAGCTTTAGTGGGGTATTCATTTGCTTGTAAAAGGCAGGCTCACGGTTGGGTACCTCTTCAATCCCTTTTACTCATTTTAATTTTTCTCATTAAACAAAGCCACTGCGCTTAGTGTAATTACAAGCAGGTTGGTGAGAGAAACCTGTACTGGACAGATGTGAGCAGATGTGAACGTCTGCAGACACTGAGCAGAGAATGTGAGATGATAAGAGTGTTATCACTGGATCTTAAGTCTTCTATCAGAAACAGCACAGCGGGGAAAGTGCTGGCAGTGGATTAGTTTCTCCAGTAAACAAAGCATGCAGATGTTAACAATAAAAGCTGGCCAAAATCATTTGAAAACTATATATATGCACTGTATTTATCTATGTGTTTTAATCATTTAAATTTGCTTGTGTTGAACCATTTGATTCTCTGATCTGTGTTGGCGAATCCAACGGTTTTGTTAAGTCCTTGATATAGGGCCATAGAAGAAAAACATTGAATTTATTTTAATTAAGTGGACTGGTGTGTTATAAAAAAAACCCATACAACATTAAGATTAAGAGATCCTTTATTCGTCCCACAGCTGGGAAATTTCAGTGTTGCATCACTGGTTTTAGAGCAATAGGAATGAGGAGCACAGGGCACGAGATAAATAAACAATAACTCTAAAGCCGTGTTCAGGCCGCCGACGCTGGAAAGCAGTTTCCACGCGCACTGGACGTACATTCTCTAAATTTCAGACGCTAGGGGTCCAGAAGTCCTGGGCCTGAAGTAGTGGAAGTGCTTTGATGCTAACGGACTTAAGCTAGTGGCTTTTTGTGTGAAATTCTTCACCGAGAATGCAGCTCTGCAGCGTCTCTGTGTCCAGAGACCTTCCAGAGACTTTATATAACAGCAGTATGTGTTCACGGAGGTGCGCCATATGTTTATTTTATTATTAAACGGTACTTCCGCATCGGCGAACATGCTAGCTGTGCTACTTTACAGTCACTGGAGAATGACAACTCAGGCTGGAGGCATATGTTCACAAGCAAAGAGTCCCCCTGTCAACCCTGGTTTAGTCCTGGTTTAGCTCCTATTTTTGCTGTTTACGAGTATTTTCAGTCTGCTCGCTAGACCGGTAACTTTGAGCGTCCCAAGGAAAAAGTTCTGCAATGTTTATCTCCTGCTTTCATCGATTTACTCTCCTGTGCCTCTGCTGCGCCTCTGCCGCGCCTCTGCAGTGCAGTTCGTGCGTCTCTACCGCACAGTCCATGCGTGCCGAGACGCACATGCAGTTCCACGCTCAAACATGCGTCATCATTGACTTTGCATTGAAAGTCGCCGTAACGCATGATCCAGTCTAAAATGCGGCTTAATACTAATACTAATAATAAAATAAAATTAGTGCTGTCCAACGATAAAAATATTTAATCGCGATTAATCGCATGAATTTCATAGTTAACTCGCGATTAATCGCAAATTAGTCACACATTTGTATCTATTCTTTATGTCCCTTGAATTATCATTTTAATACTACTAAAAAGTGAATAGGCGTGCTGTGTGCAATTGCTTTTTTTGATATTTTGTAAATTTGTTCATGTAAATACTCTATGCTGTTTCTCTGTTTACTTTCGGTATATCTATGACTGTATACTGCTTGCTTGTATTGCCTTTTTTATTAACCCCTCCCCCCCATCTCCCACTTCATGTCCCCCCCCCCCCCCTTCTGGGTTTCTTCTTTGGCCCCCTGTATCTCCAACTACATATTGTTTGTAATTTTTTTTTTTTTTTATCGCGCAATAAAAAAAATGACGCCGTTAATATTGATTTGCGTTGACGCGTTAATAACGCGATATTTTGGACAGCACTAAAAATAATATATCTAACTTTAGCCTAAAAAAGAAGTAAGTATAAAATGTATAGCTTTAGTATAATAAAGAAGCAAGAATGAAGCACAAAATCTCTAAGTGGCAATGATTACATTTGTCCACCTTATGTCAGTGTTATAAACTAGTCTTAGCGAGGCTTCCAAACTTATAAAACAGTTTGGAGCGTAAAGCCTTGGTGTGTTATGGGGCTTCATTTGCCCATCACTACAGACTTGTATTCAGTATGTACTACATCTGAAATAACCAATCCACGGCTGGTGGCTGGAATGTTAACAAAGACCACCTTCTGAACATAGACTATAAATGTTATATATATATATATAATATATAGTTCTGAAGCTAAAGTTTTACAAACGCAGTGTGAAGAGAAGCGACGCGTCTGTGGGAGCTTAAAACTATGATGACCAGAGAAGCTGGGGCTTGGAGATGGGTATACACAGCCGCGGTACAACTGTGGCTAAAAGCTCCAATTATATTAGCTTTCACCACGGCGCCGCATTATATGCGTATGTGGCTCTCACGCACGTATGTGGCTCTCACGCACGTGCACAGAGGGCCTCGGCCGCACTCTGACCAATCAGAACTGATCATCAGAGCAGCGGTAGAGTGGAGTCAGAGCGGGAAGGAAAGGAGCAGAGTTTGTGGCAGTAAAGTGTGGATTTAAAGAAAACCGAAGGATTTAAGAAGAAAAAAAGTTCAGGATGACAAGGGACACTAAAATCCCCACAAAATCCGATCTTTATGAAAGCTGTAGGTTCTCTGTCAGCTGAGGTCGAATATTTCTTAGCAAAGTACATGGGAAAATAAAATGGGAAATATTCTAAGTGGGCAGGTTTGTCAAAAAATGTAATGACTTTTAGTGAATATTTTTATTCATGCTTATGTAATAGTGATAAAAATTGTAATAGATTAAATATACAGAAAAAGAGATTGGCAATAAATAGTTATTTCATAATTTACACAATATAAAAAAACAAGATAAATATGGTTAAAGGTATGTTAAAATATCTACAGCTCATTCAGTATTTACATTTTGAGTTTTTACAGAGAGGATTCATTGTTATCGACTAGTAAGCCTGAACAATGATTGAACGTTTGCCCACACCGACAGATATGGGGGTTTCGCGCTGTTTCCTCACTTGTAATAAACTCCTGCAAGAGGGAAACACCCCCAAATCACTCTTGTGGTTTTCTCCTTATTTCAGGGGTGCCACACTTAAACATGTGTTCTTCCATTGTAGGTTTAGAAGAATTAGCAGCACATGAGTTTCCTGTACCACTTCTGACGGTTCTTCTCCAACTTGAGCTCTGTGGCCAACCACTTCTCCTCCATCAGGGAGCGCTCTTCTTCTGTCTTCATTAGTTTCCAGGTAATAGCACTGGACTTAGCCTCCAACACAGAGCAGTCCTCTTCTGTTTCCTTCAACTTTTGAGTCAAAGCACAAGACTTAGCCTCCAACAGAGAGCAGTCCTCTTCTGTTTCCTTCAACTTTTGAGTCAAAGCACTAGACTTAGCTTCCAACAGAGAGCAGTCCTCTTCTGTATTCAGCAGTTTTTGAGTCAAAGCACTAGATTTAGCCTCCAACAGAAAGCAGTCCTCTTCTGTTTCCTTTAGCTTTTGGGACAAAGCACAGACTTTTACCTCCAGCAGAGAACACTCTTGCTGTACGGTGCTCTGTCCCTCTTTGAGATCTTCACACTGTCTCAAAACGGCGGCCTTGTCTTGCTTCTCTCGCTCCAGCGCTTGCTTCAACTCCTTCAGTGACTCGTTCAGGCATTGATTGGCGTCTTCTTTTCTTTGGAGTTGGCCCTGAACCTCCTGTACCTGCAGGTTCAGCTTGATCTTTCGGTCCCTGGACTTGATGATCACGTCTCTCATGACGTCCATCGCTGTTTCTCTATCCTGGATTTCCAGACGCATCAGAATCTTGTCTTGAGCCTCTTCTTGCAGTCGCCCATCCAGTTCGCTACATCTCTTACAAAACTCCTCCAGTTCTTTTTTGAGGTTTCCCAAAGAAACTTCAAATTGAGCATTCTTCTTAATCAGCATTGTGCTTTCTGCCTCAGTCTTTAGTAGTTGAGACCGAGCTTCCTCTGTTTGAAGGCAGAGAAATTGTCTTTCCAAAAGCCATTCTTGTTGTTGCTGCAGAGAAGTTGCTTTCTGTTTCTCAGTCATGTTTTTGAGTTCAGCAACCTGGCTTGTCAAACTCTCTAATTTCAGATTCCTTGCCTGGATCTGTGCCTTTAGATCCTCTGACCCCTTTAGCAGAGATGTGTTCTCTTCTCTCACTTTCCTCAGTTCATCCTCCATGTCCTGCTTTGCTTTGGCTTGATGGTCAAGTTGGGTCTTGTGGGCATAGATGATCTGCTTTGTTCTCTTGAGCATTTTAAACTTCACGTCCTCAAGCTCTTTTTCAAACTCTTGGACGCTCATTTGATGCGCAACTTGTGGAGCCATGTCCTTCTTCACGAGTGCCACACCAATCTTGTCCTCTGACTTTCTCCTCAGCCGGTGTTCATTGACCACTTGTAGTTTGAGCCGGTCAATTTCACGAGGCAACTTTTGAGTTGTGTCCAACTGCTGAAAGCTCTCTTGCTCCAGCTGTTCTGCAGTTGTGAAGCCAGGGACCAGTTTCACAGCTGGTCCACAGAGTCCATCCATCTCTTCTGCTGGTTCAGAGGGACGGACTCCTTCAGGGGTTTCACCCAGCACTTCCATGAGGTTGAAGTCCTCAGTGTAAAATGCTGCGTCGTCCTCCGGAGAGTATTCGTACCAGTTTTTGTTCATTTTGATCAACTGCTTGTGTTTCTGCTTGTAGTTAAAGGCTGCAATGTGGGTGTCAAATTTCTTCTGGGTCCAGGTGTCTGGCTACTGGCCTGAACTAAAAGTTAAAAGTTCTAGAACTTCTGCATGTAAAAGGGGGTTCCCATGGAGATGGAATTCCAATTTATGGAGAATAGAACCTTCTTGAAAATCTGTGTTGCCATGGATATGGAATGCCAAAAGGAATCTGTATTTGATTTATGATTGAATGAAACATTATAATGAAGGTTAGAAAAGTGAAAGAATTTCGGAAAATTAAAACTATCAAATTAGCCATAATTGCCATTAGAACAACATTTTATGTATTTATCAATACATTTTTTCAATGGTGGACATGACAATGCATCACATATTACAATTAAATTTCAAATAATGGTAGTCCTCTCCCAGAAATGAAAAGCAGCAGGAAGAAGAAAATAATCTCTTCTGACTGTATGTAGCAAAACTAGAATAATATCATGATTTGAAAAGGTATTGCAACTGAATGTTTTGCATCATTCCTCTTTGTCTTGGTCTATGTCAGAACTTATCAAAGATCACATGCTAATATTTAGATGCTCTCTGTAATTGTAACCTGTTAGTTGTGAACTGCAACCACACTCAGATCTCGGGGCTTAGATCTAACATTTTCCTGCATCTGCACCTTTGTGTGAAGTTTGCATGTTCTCCCTGTGTCTGTGTAGGTTTACTCCGGGCGTTCCATTTCCCCCTACCACTAAAAACGTGTACAATAGATCCGACATACGTGCCTTAAATGGCGGCCCTGCTTTCATCACTGTGTGGAGTGAGAAGAAAAAGGGTGACAACAATTATATACCGCTTTGTGACTTGTGATCTTTTATGAGACTTTTGATACAATTACGTTAAAGCTGAACTCATTACGATAGTCTGGGATTTTCCACTCGATGTTTCTATAAAGTCACATGTGCGCTTCAAAACTTTGGTTGTGTCTCTTCCCCAACAATAACATGTCTTCTGCATCTTTTGTCATTTTCTCCAGATGACTAAAAGTATATAGGAGGACTTACTACTTCCGGGTGGATCATCATGACTATTGGTCCTTTTAATTGTCAATCATTCTGGTGATATGTGATCGTCAAATAAGACCAGAGTTTAAAAAGTGGAGAGGACAGTTCTTTCCTAAAATTTGGGAAAATCCTCCAATATACCATTAAGAAGTTGAAAGTATTTGTCTCCCCCAAAGACGACTGCAGTACTAGACACGCTGTTTAGACTTTGAGGTTTGGATTTCTCGTGAAGCTGAGCGATGATCAGAGTGATGCTTGTATCTCTGCTCTTGATATTACTTTCGTGCGCGTGAGGCAGAGGCTGTGGTTTGACCCAGATGCCTCCCACTCAGCTCTGCAGACGTGTGCCATCTCGGTGTGGTTTGGTCGCTGCACGAGTTAATTTGCTGTTTACTTATGACGGGCTGATGTGAAAAACGCAGCCAAACATCAGAAATGAACTGTTTGTCCCACTAAACTTTCCCGCACTCATTATGTACTGTTTCTCATAATTATCACTATTGTTGGCTCTTTAGAATGATGTTTGTGTGGATAGATGTGTTTTTGCTGCTTCTGGAAACCTGAATTTCTTCTACGACATCAATAAAGTATCTATCTATCTATGTCTAGGAATGTTTGAGTTATGTGTAGCATTGAGAAGATAGCAGTTGATATACAGTAGACTTTCAAAGAATATCAAATTATGAATAAATTATGTATGATTGTACTGTACTCCAAACTTTTAATTCACACGGTTCACTTTTATTTATTAATAGACTTTAGTTGTGCTTTGCAGAAAATCTTTTAGTTTCCAGAACTTTTGCCACACCCCCCTTTTTAGAAGACTCAAACTAAAGATCGCCTGGGCATGTCTTTAGTGGAAGAAGAATTTATTTGGTCGACCACTGCAATTAGTAATTTTATCTGATTATGTTAGGTGTAATTTTATTCCCTTCAGGAGGACACATAACAACTGTCCTGGGACTACAGATGGAAAATAGCCTTTAGGCAAGGCAAGGCAAGTTTATTTGTATAGCACAATTCATACACAAGGCAACTCAAAGTGCTGAACAAAATAAGAAAGCATTAAAATTATAAATCATCACAGTACATTAAAAAGAACGATAAAAGTATAAAATATAAAATCCCTCAGTTGTATGCAGAGCTAAACAGCACTGTTTTTAACCTGGTTTTAAACATTGTCAGAGAGGAGGCCTGTCTCACACTTTCAGGAAGATTGTTCCAGATTTTAGCAGCATGAATCTTAAGCTGTTTAGTTCTGACTCTGGGCACTAACAGGAGTCCAGTCACTGTGCTCCTCAGAGTCCGGGCTGGTTCATATGGGACTAACATGTCACTAATATATTTTGGTGCGAGGCCATGGAGAGACTTGTACACAAGCAGAGCTGTTATAAAGTCTATTCTCTGAGCCACAGGAAGCCAGTGCAGAGACCTGAGGACCGGACTAATGTGATCGTACTTCCTGGTTCTAGTCAGGACTCGAGCTGCTGCATTTTGAATGTACTGCAGCTGTTTTACAGCCTGTTTGGACAGACCTGTGAGCAGGCCATTGCAGTAGTCTAACCTACTGGAGACAAATGCATGGATAAGAATCTCCAGGTCTGCTTTGGACACTATGTTTTTGATCCTGGCAATGTTTTTTAGATGGTAAAAAGCTGCTGATGTTACTGATTTGATGTGGCTATTAAAATGTAAGTCTGAGTCCAGTATTACCCCTAGATTTCTGACCTTGTTTGAAGGTTTTAGGGAGAGAGACTGGAGGTGACAGATGACGCTCTCTCTTTGTTTCTGGGGACCAAAGACAATAATTTCAGTTTTGTCTGCGTTTAGCTGAAGGAAGTTGTTTTGCATCCACTCACTGATCTGCTGGATACAGTGAAGGAGTGAGTCCACTGGTCCATGTTCTCCTGCAGTCAGGCTAATTCTGGCATATTTACATGTATAATGTATATTAATATGCTCTGTCCCTTTACTAAATCAATAAATCATGTACTTATCTATTTCTCATGCTATTCAATGTTATTAGAACCATAAACCTTTTAATCAAATCGTTGCGGCTCTGATGGACACAATTTGAAGCTGTAATAATTTCAATGTCAAAACATGATCAATCTTTTGCTACTGTATATATTGTGTTATTTGACCTAATTTCATGTAAAGCATTGAATAATTTTTTGTGTGAAATACAATGAAAACCTTTTAGAATGTTATCTTGGAATCTTCTCGGGCCCCTTTCTGAGTGTTCTGCCCCCCACTTTTGAGAAGCACTCTATAGGACAATTAGCAAAACTCAACTATGTAGTCACTGGTTGTACGACAGAGGTTTTTTATGTGTGCATAGTGTGTAGATTCAGATTCATTTTATTCGCCATTTGCAGTGAAACCACATTGGAATAAACTTGCAAAAGTCCTCAGTGTGCACAAGACAAGTACATAAATAAAAAAACAATTGTCACTGTGCAACTTTTCAGTACGAAGCGAGTTGTCCTGCATCTCAACGAACTTCTGCCAAATGAAAGAAGCTGGAACATCCTTTTCCAGTGGCCAGAAGAGTCATTGGTTATTCTAAGAGCTCGGTTTAAAAGTCTGGATTTATATAGACCCTCCAGAACAGGCAGCTCACAGCCTACAGTCGTCTTTGCAGAGCGGAGCACCTTGTTTCGAGCTCTCCTTTCTTTGGCTGTGATGTCACCAAACCACACAGTCACAGAACCAACAAGCAAACTTTCAATGGTGCGGCGATTAAAGTTAAGCAGGATCTTATAATTTCTCTACGTTTTCGCACAAAGTATAGAGACGCTCTCAATCTTAATCAACCTGAGAGTCTGGACCCACGCAGGGTTCAAACCCTAATATGTGTACAGTATACAAAGGGATAGCCATGTTAGTTTGATATATAAAGTTGGGGTTTTAGTATTACTGTTATCTAAAATATTTGTACCCTGAAAATGTTAAGGAGAAGGATTTAACATCCTTGCCATTGTAACCATGTATGGTAAAAATAGGGGTGGCTGTTTTAGACAGAAGCTGGCTGTCTCCAGTGTGAATGGTTAGACTGATAAAAGGATAATTATAAAGTGTGTGTATTTATAAAGCTCTTTAAAAGTCTAAAGGAGACAGTGGGCGTGCCTTAAAAGTAGTGTATTTAAGCAGTGTTTAAAGGACCACTTACAAACACAAGGGCCACTTTAAACGTCGTCTTTTGCCACCGATGACAGGTAAACCGTTCAAAAGTCAAAGACGACAAACTTTACAAATATACATATGAATAAAAGACTGTGATGCCATTAATTGTAATTGTTAAAGATAATCTCACAGATGAAAAACAGAATAATTAAAATTTTTGGATCTAAGTATTTCTGCTAAACTCTATTATTTAGTATTATTCACTATGCTAATGAATATGCTGTGGCTCTGGGGGTATATCTAAAGCTTTTGAGCTAAACAGCCTCCAACCACAACCCAATCTGGCAACATGAGTTCTGAGTGAAACTAAAAGAAGTCCTTTTACCGAGTGCCTATAATTTTCATGAAAAGCCTGGATTTGAGCTGAATGTGTTTGCTGAATGTAAATGGCTAACAGATCTTCCAACTCTCGTCCTGTTTTGACCACATGCAAGCTGTGTTGTCATTCTTGTGTGGTTTGTGCAGCTCCTTCCCATTGAAAGCTCTTGAACTTAAATACGTCAATAGTCTTAAATTCTTGTTGGCTTTCACACAGAAAGCAGGACTGTTTGCGATGGCCCTTAACCGCCCTCCTCTGAGTACTTCTTTTTAATGTTAAACAGACAACTCACTTTGGGTCGGTTTTCAGCATCCTATAGGACTGCATTTTATTGTTTTTTCCATGTGTTTTTCTTCACAGGGCCTCTTGGCTAAATAGGGCACAACTTTGTTAGTTTTGTTAGTTCTTTTCTACGGCTGGGAAACTGGGAG